ATTTCCACCTTCCTACACACGTGCATGCACTGAAGAAGTCATTCTGTTACTTTTCCACACGGATTTTTTTTTTCCCCAGATGATAGCATGATTTGACTTGAATAAATCATCAGGCAAACCTCTCAAGTGTTATCTTGCTTATTATGTACATAACCATATGCGTTGCAACATAAATCTTCAGTGCCACAGCTGTCAGAAATGAGCAAGAAACACTAATGGTTTGTGAAACCTGAGGCAAATCCGCGGATACTTGTGGGGATTCAAGACCCTAATTTTGGGGGCACTTATCAAAAAAAAAAAAAAAAAAAAGATGTTGGCCAATGTGTGCATGTATTTATTTACTTAAAAATGTGTATCTTTCCCTGATATTATTTTAACCTTAATTATTTGCACTGATTAAAGAAAGCACAAAAATTTCACTGTATGATAGATAAGCAGAGGGCATTTCTGTAAAGCTGTTATAGGCAGACATTTTCACTGATAACCTCAAAACAGATGCTTAATGTGGTTGGACTGAAAGGCACCAGGCAGACCTGGACAAGTCTTCCGTGCAGTGGCTTTCAGCCAAGGCTTCATTATGCTTTTTCCCGAAAACAATGACAAAACACAGGAATAATCAGTGGGTTTCGTGAGCTAGGAAAAAAGTCTGTGGCTAGTGTCTGTGAAAGGAAAAAAAACCCTCCCCAAAATAGCTTCTTTTCTACAAATGGACCTTGCAGCAGAGATCTGCTAATAATCCAGAAATAGCCTAACTTTCTATGATGCTTTTAAGAACTTTGATGCACTACACTTTGTTTTGATCCAAATCTCCCTGATTCCTTATGGGAAGACTTTTTAGAAAGATGCAGTAGTTCCAAAACAACAACGCAGAGCTCTGCTCTTCTAGTGCTCCCTGGCAGGACAAAGGTCTTATGCAAACAAGTAGAAAGAAGATGTGTTAAACCAAGTTAAGCAGGTAGGCTAATATCACATTTGAACTAGTCTTACTGGCAGCAGCTCAGGAATCTTCCCTACAGTAGGTACACTTGATTTTTATCAGGGTATCTTTGACCGTACCAGTTCAAGGCACTTCTACTTCCTCCCACCACTGAGTAAGAACATAACATAGTAGTAACTACATTCTTAACACATTTTTCCTTCAGCCTTGTAAAAGGGTCCTACGTAGGAAACATCCTACGTAGCTTCTGCTAGAGCACATTTTCCCTTCAGCCTTGTAAAAGGGTGGAAACATCCTACGTAGCTTCTGCTAGAGCTGTCAGCAAAGAATCAAGTCTATCCAACACCGTGACCTGTCTGAGGGAAAATCTGGCAAATATATCTTCCTATTACGGATCTTTTTATGCGTGTTACACACCCTTTCTGCTGTATTTCCCAAAGTGATGGAAATGTCTTCTGACTGGAAACCCATTTGCACTGCCAACTTCTGAACACTTCTTCTACGGCAGGGAACACTCTCTGATAAGAGATATAGGGTTTTGCAATAAGCGCTGCATAAAAGTAACAGCCTGGAATCAGCCCTATTGATCTCTGCAGGCAAAAGCTTCTTAATAAATAGTTTCAAAGTGAAGGAAAAGTTTACTTTTGGTTTCTGAGATGTCCACTCTAACCCCAAACTATGTTCCCGAAATAGACATACAAAGCACCCCAAGAACACACAGCATGATGTTACCAAAGCCCTAATTAGTGCCTTAAATTAAGAGGTACATCACAGTAGATTATGTTTTTGTTGTCGGACTCATGCTTGGCATTCTAGTCTCCCCGCCGCAACAAGGCTCTTTGAGAGCACAGCTGTGTCGTCCTGCCAGGACATGGCACGAACTCAACGGGAATGTCACTGGGGTGACAACAATAGCAGTGAATGTGCCAGGACAGTTCCAGATAATTCCAGATCCACTTTCCCATTCCAGTTGAGGAAAAGGAAATCCCAGAAGGCCGAAGAAAATGGCCTACGATGTTTCAGTGGCCTGAATTAACAGCATCAGGACTATGTGGAAAGGAGAGGATGTGATGGGCACAGAAAGCAGAAGAACTTTCCATATCTCCACCGCAGGCTGCACTCTGTTTCCCGGACTGCAAAAGAAATCCCTGATACAGTTTTGGAAACGGCCACGTGGTTCACAACCTTCATGGACTATCACCACTGGGCGCTGCCGAAACTAAGGCAGTAAGAGGTAAAACAGTGCAAACTCAACCTGGGATTACCTTGAAGCAGGATCTCTAGTTTATAAATGAACAGAGCTACCTAGAGGCACAGGGACATCCCCGTGGCTTTCAGGGAGCCCACACAGATCGTGCACTGACAACCTGATCGTAGCTACTGCGCTGCACTTACCACTGAGGGCAGCAGCAACTCAGGGATTTCTGCAGTTCACCGTGTAATGGACCTTTCAACACCCTCATGTCCTCACGGCCCATCCTTACCGACCAGTTTTCTTTATATTCATATTATCAATGGTTTCATTTCATTTCGGTGATTCTTTCCTCTCAATTTCCCCAAATAACCCAAAGCTAATCACTAACAGACCCTTTTGAATATCCAAACTGAGCGCAAGAGAAAACATTCGAAGATCCTGTGCACTCAGAGAAAACAAGAAAACTTCTCCGATGAATAAATTGGGATAAACCCCATTTAAAAAGGCTGGTCCAGCAAAAATATGACAATCTTTAGTACTGGGTATTCAGATAAATGGTATCTGCTGGCAACATTACCCCATGTAAAATATAATGGAAACAATACTATCAGCCAGATACATTAAGAAATCCATTTAACACAGCAGTTCTCAACTTGTGATTCACAGACGACTCATGGAAAATCTGTGAGAAATAAGTAAGGTAGAAGCACATTGCAGGAGTCCTCAATGCACTTCATAAGGCCTTGCTCTTCCATTGGAAAACATCTGGGGGAATGAAGAGTCTGTAAATCAGAGCTGTAGCATAACAACATATATGTCCCCAGATACTTTTTAATGTTTATAAAGCTCCTTCTTGTGCTTATGCAAGACATGGGAGAAGAATATTAAGTAGTCTTTGCATGCGCATAATAAACTTACACTGATTAGAAAAGGCTTTTAAATAATTGCCTGAAGACACTACTGTCTCTCTGCAAATGGCAAAATATTTGATATTTGAGTTCTTCCAGGCTTATGTGGGGGGAAGAAGTGTCAGGAAAGATAAAATCAAGGGGTTTCCTGGAATTGGTGAGTTTGAGAGATAGAGGGGAAATGGGTGTTCCAGGTATAGAGGTGAATAAACAGGTGAATAAACAAAATTTGGAGAAAGAGGAAATAGAGTATTGCAGAGAGGGAATTGCACACAATGCCTTGCTTAAGAAAATACAGATGAACATCTATCCTTAAAAACAGAAATAGGATCCTCCATTCTTGGTATTATCCAATTTGCCTCTGAGTTACACTGGCAAAGCGGATGTATTTATTTCTCAGAAAGTTGATTCATATAGAAGGACACAATCTACTATCACATAGAGCTGTTGTTGCTGATGAAAAAAATTGTTTGGATACAAACATTTCATTTTTTTTTCCAAAACACTTTGGGAAATGAAAGTTTGTCTGGAAAAGCGAAACAGAAGACTGCAGTAATGTCTGATACTTGATACTTGGAAAGAGAAGCATTTTGTTTTATTTTTTTTTTCTTATTTCAAAAGGTTTCCCAACAAGATTATTAGATACAGTCTAGTCAAATCAAAACCAAAATCAGAACAACCCGGCTCATTTGTTATAGGACTTGTGAAGCAAGCAGTGACTGAAGCAGGATGCTACAGGAAAAGTGTAAGTTTTCTCCAGAAGAAGAATACTGCCTTGGAAAATCAAATTTTAATCCATGCATCTGTCATGAAATAAAAGTCTCCTAAACTAAACTAGAGCTGAGCTAAAATCACTATTCCCATGCTATGGTATTAAAACAAACATATGGCAATATCCCCAAATCATTTTTTCTCCTGCTCATTAAACACAGCAACTTCTGAAGTAGTTCTTAATTACAACCTCATCCCCCTATAGTGCCATTCGGCTGCTGGCAGTTGTGACTGAGGTACCAAATACCAACATTTACCCCAAACCAATGGTGAGGGGTGCCTGGCTAGAGTGGCTGAAGGTGGGTGAGATGAAATTCCATAGCCCTAGCAAAGAAACTTATCTGAAATGCTTACAGACAAAGTGAGGTTCAAAAGTCAAAGGTCAGTCAGCATTATCACAGGGGCTAATTTATTCCCTTGGCTCTTGGGACTCAGTGCTCCTCAAATAGAGTTGATGAGATTACCCCAGCTCAGCTTCTCACCCTCTGCATGACACTGTCTTTACATCTTTACATTGTGCAATGTGATTGCCACTGCTGCAAAGCATAGAAGGAAATCAAATATGTGAAAGAAAATCCTACAGCATTTGCATAGCTTCATTTGTTGGGCATAATACATTTTGCAAGAAGACCTTAATAATTTATCAGGGAGCGGCATACAAGACCTCTGTGAAAATGATGAATCTAACGGGATTCCCTTTCTTTAATGCAAGGTAGAAAAGGAAGACACTTACTGTAAACTGTATTTGGCAGCCTCCCATGATATAATCTAAGAAAGAATGCATCTTGTGAATCTGCAGAAAAGAAAGCAAGATATTCAAATTAACTGTGTACTGCTAAAATACCAACACTTGGAAACAGCCTGAGCAAAATGAAACGGAAGGTAGAGGATGCATCAACAGAAGAAGAAAAAAAATGACAGAAAGTACTAAACTATAGAATGGTAATTTCACATGAAAAGTAGAACTAAGAACTGCATCTTATCATGGGACATCAGAGGGAAATTTGCTATTGGTTTAGGAGGAAATAGAGTATTATTCTATATTCAGAGTTGGAAATGTCAAAATTGGAAGGGAAACACGCAGAAGCCCATACAGTAAGTCTGTAGACTTACAAGCTCTGAATGGCCTATTTCACTGCACAGCGGTAAGCGGAGGACAACAGAAATGAAAGTATTTGGGGAGTGTTCATAAAATTTTGAGATTCACCTCATTTTTTTCCTATTTTTTTCTTTTTTTTAAGTGGATCATTTTCTATTGCTCTTCTAACCCACAGTTCTGATTTGGTGTTTTCATTTCAAACCACCATTGAATATATGACTGAGATCTTAGAAAGGAAGAAGATGAAGAGCAAAACACAGATACCTTGCACTGGTTAAGGATGACAATGCCTGAGTTCTTGTAATTCTTCTTCTTTGCTTTGTACTTGGGGTTTATGCACTCCCACTGTACCTGTGAAAACAGCAGTAAATGCATGAAGGACAATTAACGTACAAATTGAATAATTAACAAAGAGTACCTACTGAATCATTTAGGAAAAAGAAAAAGGAGGAAACTTAATACCAGTGAAAATATGTGAGGGATCATCCTGATGCATTATATAAGCAACAAAACTCTCTGTGTAGTAACTCTGATGTTTTATATTAAGTTTTCATGACCAGAGAAATTATTTTCAGGATTAAAATGATCCCTCAACCCATATTGTTGTCTTTAGATCCTTGAGAGAGAGCAAGAGTTTGTTCTTTGATCACAATAATACAAATAAAAAGTTAAGAAAAGACCTCAGATATGCACATAAAGTTGCGCCAGTAATTACTGATATATTTAAAAGTTGAAATTTTGAAATGCATCCCTAAAAATAGAAATTAAAAAAAGTTGTAAAAATGTTCATAATAGTTATATTTACAAGTATGCAATTTTACAATTGCAATTTTTATGCCTATGTTGTCAGTGAAATATATTGATTTATTCCCATCAAAACATTTCAGTCTTACTGGTTTTCACTTATAATTTTTGGTCTTTCTCGGTTTTCAGGAAGATTGGTGAGGCCAAGGTGTTAGAATCTGAACTCCAATGACTGCAACAATATTCATGCAGGAGCAAAATACACGGCTGCATGTTCAAGTATCTGTTAGCACTTGCAAACTCAGATTTTTATGTGTAATGTGGTACTACATAATACTAAGAATATTACTATTTTCTTTCAAGGAGGTGTTTTCAAGTGCTTCGGAGAAGAAAATATTCAAGCTCTAATGTGATGCTGGGTAACATAAAAAATCCATCTCCTGAAGTAACCAGGATGGCCCGTACGGTAAAAAAAAAAAAAAAAAAAAAAATTGAAATGAAAAACATGTTTAAACACAACAATAGTTTATTTATAATGAGGATTCTCACATACTGTTTGGCTGAGAAAAGTGCTTAAGCACTTTGCAAAGCATTTTTACCTTACAATCATTATTTGAATGTTTCTGAAATATTTCAGACTTAGAGCATTTTTTTTCAAATATCAAAAGGGGAAGGAAAAGCATATGGCTTTAGGGCTACATGAGATCTTTTCTACATGGGGAATGGGGAGTATTTTCATTGCTGTGTTTCTGAAGACCTGTGACAGAGCTGAGAACAAGAACAAGAAATAACCAAACTGTAGGAAGCACATCCGCTGGCTCTCTCAGTTAGCCTATAGCTCAGTTACTTGTCTAGCAAAATGAATTTTCCAACCGAGAAGACAAGCAGACACAGGTCCACATGTTCAGGGGAAATCCTCCAAAAACCCTTTTCTCTACTCTATAAAATCAGCCAGGCTTAAAAAACACTCGAGATTTGCCTAGTAGAGAGAGCTCTATGTGGCAGAATACAAGGGTGCAATAAGCTCATCTTTGGGAAAGCAATCTGACAGCTGATAAAAGCCTTGCCCACTCACACCTTGATAGACAGCTTGCCATCCGGCAAGATGGTTTAGCACGCAGTTATCTTCTAAACTCATTGGAACATAGAAATTGTGCAGTCTCTATACATTAAGAAGAAGATGCAATATAATGGATAGAGAGAAAAAAGTAGAAGCTGAAAGCAGGAGAGAAAACAGTGCATTCCTCTTTTAGACACTGATCTACATGGAGAGGGAGATCTCACTATTTTCCCCTGAGTGTCAAGGTGCATCTACTTAATTTTATCTTCTGCGAACATGAACACTTTTCAGGGGGCATCTTTAGACAACAAAGGCTGACCTGTATAAAGCCTTACAGTGTGCTCATAATCCCTCTCCTCTGGGGAAGGATTATGCAAGCCTAATCTACATTTATATGCATGTAACTGGCTTTTAGGAAAAGTTTACATTTTCTGAAGACCAAGGCAACATAAAAAGCTATTTTAGAGGAGGAAGCTGTGTGCCCATGGCCAGCCTGCTCAGCAGGATTGTTGATCTGCATTTTGAGATTTATGGATAACAATTCACAGCAACTATCTAAAGCTTATTAAAATAGTCCACACACAGGTGACTAACATGTCATGAGCTGATGCACATAAGAAAACAAAGATAAAAGCAGATTAAGGAATCTCCAGACAGCAGAAAAAAAGAACAATTTTGCTATTAAATCTTAGTCTGATAGTATAGGAAAGGGAAAGGGGCAGGAAAAGGGAAAAATCCTTTCCCACTTCATGTTTGGACTTAAAAGAATTTGTAGTCTGCTTTACATAAAATTCACAGTTGTCTTTAACTACCTGCCAAGATCTAGTTTGAGATGCTTGCATTGTAAAGACAAGCTAAGTTTTCAGTCCTTTCCCACATTCAACTATTGATTTGGCATCTGACATCATTTTTACGAATGCATTTTTGTCTTTTAAATTCAACTTTTAGTTGAGAGGAAACTAATGCAAGAGTCTGCAGTCTGACACTAATGGTAAACATTGTGAAATTTAAATTCATCATTCTAACAGTCACTTAGCATTTCTTCCATATGTCTGGCAGCTCTGGGCTATGTAAGTTCTATTGCTTTGGTGTTTCTTTCATACTGCAAAATCTAAACCAGCATGTGAAAAATATACTGAATGTAAAAGGAAGTAATTCCAGCTATTCTTCAATGAAACTCAGCAAGCCAATGCTGACACTTTGAAGGTCCTACTCTGCTCTTCTCTGGCATGAGGAGACCCAGGTCCCTCCCTGACAGCTATCCATCTCTGCAGTGAAGGATGCTGCTTCCCCAAATAGTCTTATCCTTCTCTTACATGTTTGCAACTGATACTTAAAGGGAATTCCCTGATCCCTGCCAATGATAACTGTTCTCTCCCAGTCTGTCCCATTGCCTAATAGACCCTGTTTGATGATCATTAGGAGGTTTTGACGATCCGCTGACAGAACTAGAGCAAAGTACTCTAGCTGGCCACAGAGTCTGCCACACAAAGGAAAAGATAAGCACAAAATCAGGAGGCTTCACTGTGTCTCCTTAGCAACACAGACAGGGAGCCAGACCCGCACTCTGCTCTTTACACTGGCTCCCCACAGCATTCGACACCCAGTTCCAGACTCTGGTTTGCATCCGCAAGACACTCGCTGTCCACATGGTGTGTGAAGGAATGCTTAACACCACGCGCTGAAGGATGCAGTTGGCAGTTTTATACCTCTGACTGAAAGGAGCCGAAAACAGAATGTTTTCTGGTCTGAGGCTATGGAAAAATCTCTCCTAAGAACAAAGGCCTACACCTAAGTTACCCATCTCCTCACCCATGTATAAATCTGTTTCTCTAATATGGCCTTCATTATTAGAAATACCTAGCAACACATACACTTGAGCATAAACTACCATCTTCCTCCTCTGCCATTCCCTCCAAGTTTACTAAACCCCTTATATTCAAAGCAGAAACTCTGCTGTAGGTACTTTTTCTCTGGAGAGAAGAAAACCTAAAGAAAAATGCTAAACACCATTTTATGTTACACAAAGGATGTTAAGAGAGATTTTCGTGCACAAAGATGGCTTTATAGGGTTTGCACTTAATAGCATATATTCCCTTTAACAGCAACTGTTACTTCTGGAAAAAAGACCAAAAGGAAAAAGAGAGAGACAGCGAGGGTGAAAGAGGAAGGGAGGAAAGGGAATGGGAAATTGTTCTCCAATGAGGAAGAACTTCTTGACTGTGAGGGTGACAGAGCCCTGAAACAGGCTGCCCAGAGAGGTTGTGGAGTCTCCTTCTCTGGAGATCTCCCAAACCTGCCTGGATGCCACCCTGTGCCACGTGCTCTGGGTGTCCCTGCTGGCGCAGGGGGGTGGGATCAGATGATCTCTAGAGGTCCCTTCCAACCCTAAGCATCCCTTGATTCTGTGGCCAGACAGGAGCAGTGACATCGTCTCACACAAGCACCCTCTCCTGTGCAGCAGGTGATCCCCCATAATACTTTTTCCAAAGTAACTATATAACTTTCATCAGGATCTGCTCAAACTCCCTACAGCTTGTTCCTGCCTAAAAGCAGGTTTTTGCTGGCTACAAATGCTGACTGAGCTTTGCACATGCATATTTGGGGGCAATACTTGACAGCTTTTAAATGACTGCTACCTACTATGTTAGTCAGTAAATCTTGTCCCGTAGAACAGACTAGAAGCTACTAAACAAGGATTATTAAAGGGGAGGGATGGGAAGGGGTGACTAGAGGCCACAGCTTTCTTGCAGCTTGCGCAGTTGCAAGTCCATAGAGTAACTGCACAAGAACAACAGCATGAGAGAAACAAGGGCGAAATCCTGCCACAGCTGAATGGGACTACAGAGGTGAAAGGCTGTGCACTTGAAAACGCAAAGCAGATTGTAGTGGTACAAGAGTAAGACAGCCTGTAGGACTGGGCAATGCAAAGGGCCAGGCACGTGAGGCACTGTGCAACACTGAAACACTTCCAGATGGTCCTGCAGCGTGCACCTATACAGACTAGAACACCAAGTGACACACGACTGCACTAACCTCTTATGCCTGTGACAGAATAACCATCCTTTGCTCTAGTTGGAGATGAAAGAGCATACTGCTTCTCCATCAGAATAAAGAATATACAATTTGTCCTTCTTAGTCGTTTCTGGTACTGTGGACTCCATCTCTTACCTTGTCCAGAAAGCTTTCTGTTTGGGAAGACCTCAGATGCTCTTTTAAAGAAGTTTGCATACGGGATGGAATACACCTCTTTACGATTCTCGCACAGTCCCCTTACCACCTACGGACATTTATTTAGAAGACTGGGGTACTGTTACAGCATTGGCCTTCTTAACGCTATTCACGCTGGAATCTGCTTTTAAATACACTCAAACTCAGTTTGGATTAAGTTTTAATAGGTACCAATTCAAGAAAGTGCTGTAAAAAGCACACACACAAAAGCCCAGGATATTGCAAGTGGGTCCTGATCCTCTGACTTGACCCTGAGAGAACAAAACAGGTTATTACTTTACAATCAGACCGTGTTCAGAAATTATTTATGATGGGTTAGTCTTTGACTAACATATATATCCAGAGATTTTTAAACACATGAGCAGCGTACCGAAGACATGTAGCAGAATCATAGGATTGCCTAGGGAATAGCCAGACTGCTTAGCATTTATTAAAAACTTCTTTACTCTTTGTTAGTTTTCCTTTATAAATAGAATGTTAATGTAAACTCCAAACAAAGTTCATTAGGAGTTTCTGTTTGATTTTCAGATCACCATAAAGCAGTGACTACAAATTATCAGCAAATTACAAAGCCAACAGTTTTAACTCCCCCTCAGAAAATTTATCAAAACTAACGCCTTTGGGATTAAATAATAATAGCGAATGACAGTTTCTAGAATTAGATATGCCAAATCATTTATCATATGCAATAATTACTATCAACTTCAATTTGCAAAGATCAGACTGACATAAAGAAGTGAAATTATTAATGAGCTAGCAATTCCATTTTCCCTTAGGACTGTAATTCATGAGACATTTAAGAAGTCAATTGGTTTCATCATGACTGGTTCAGGTAGAGCTGGCAGCAATGAATACAGCACATCAGACATGGAGAGAGGTGGAGAATGACCCTCACTCAATAAAAGGCTTTTGGCCAACAGGGGAATGTGGCCAGTCCCTATCCTGGCAGTGCAGCGCAGGGCTTCAGAGGAACTGAGTATTAGCAGAAAGAAATGTCTGCAGAATGTGAACTGGAAAAAGAGACTGTTACATGGCAGTGAAGGAAGAGCTGCAATTTGAATTTTCAGAGTATCTTGTCCAGGTAACAGTAAAACACGCATGAGAAATCAAAAGATCAAGCAAACTTCCAAAGAACAATTAAGCAATATCGCTAGCACCATGACCTGCATGTCTCATGAAAGTTGCTCTGCCGAGCGTGTATGCTGAGACTCTCTCAGTGGTTTTCACCTACCTGTCTCCCTTCCATAGCTCCTCGCATTTCCTTGAATGTCGAGCTAAACTCTCCAATGAAGTCATGCTTGCCATTGGAATCCCAGTCCCACACTATGCACTGGGGAGGGAAAGCAGAAAAGAACAGAGGAAAACTATTTTTCTTCAGATAACAAACATGTTCTATTGAAAAATACTACAGGAGAAATTATGATAGGCATACAGTGGAATGTTTTATCTAGAAGGAAATCACAAGAGATACAAAAAAAACCCCATTCTTGTCAAGATCGAAATGAAATGACAAGTGGAATCTCAACAGCTTGCTCTAGCAGCTGTGTGCAATGGTGTTGGCTGATGAAAGCAAGTTCACGCATTTAGAATAATTCCATGTCCACTGCCTACAGTTTCTAACCAGCCTTTTAATATGACTCTACTTAGATTCTTTCACAATAATTCTACCAAGGGTGATAAACATATGAATAATTCAGCCAAAGTTACTTTATGAACACTTTAACCAATCCCTTTTTATCTGACTAGCAAAACTGGTTTGCAAATTACTTACTTTGCAGGTAAGGGAAAAGAAGCTTGAAGTATGAACAAAATAATCAAACTATATCAGTAGAAGAAAAAGGATAAAAGAAAACTAACGGAAAGCCTACAACAAATTTAATGCACTACAAGTAAGGTCTTACACAAAGTCTCCCATTACAGATTCACACCATGCAACATCCTCCTGTAACAGCAGTAGGTCAATAAATGGCCTCTTTTGCCCAAGATGTTTGTCCATGTAAGGTACCTCAGGCTACTGAGTGCCAAGGAACCTCAGCTGCCTTTGCAGAAGGAATGGAGGTGGTGATTTCACCAAATTCATGCACAGGACTCCTCCAGGCTGTAAGCCACCACATACTTTATCATATAAATTCCTTTTTTCATAATGCCTTTAGCTTTCTTTTGAACTTTCAACACTGTTCCACTTAGCCTCGGGAAGGAGCTTGGTTTGATGTAAGGAGAATTTCTCTGATCCACACTGTCGATGTACAGCAGCGCTACAACCCATATTGCTCCAGGCATTAACCATCTGAAATAGTTCACTGGTCAGGCAAATCCCTGTTCTTGAGCACTCTCTCATCTTTCCATCTGATCACCTGGAATTTTGCTATTATTCATGTAGGGATCCCAAAGGTAAGGAGGAACTTGAGATGAAAAAACTATAGTACTTTTTTCTAAGACATAGACATCCTTTTTAACAGTTTTTTTCCTCAGGGGTCAGTTTTTCAGTTTGACATCTGGCCATAGGAATTAATTGCTAGTCTCTTGACAAACATGTTGTACATATTAATGATTCTGCATTTCAACTGTATGTGAAAATCATACTGAAAACGTCCTAAGGCCCAGAAGTTATTAAAAAAACCCTACCAGACAGAGAAGATAAGAAGGGAGAGACTTCACAAAATCTAGAATCAGAAGACTTCAGGTGCTAATCAAAGGTTTATTTCCTTAATTTTGAAAAATTTTGAAACACCTATTCTTTGGGGTAGTCCTGTATGCTTCTCACATAAAATCCTCCATAAATATTCCTTTATTTTTAAGTAAATCTTATCTACCATCTTGCAGGTTGCTTAAACAGATAATTAGTAGTGTACCTACAATCTACAAAAGTCTCATCAATTTAAGGAAGTTCTTCATATTCTGAATTTTAAAGGCTGTAGTAGATCAGTGTTTAGGTAACTGATGGAAAAATTTAATATCTGATCCATTGGTTTCAAGTTCAAATAAAAACTTCTGACTGTCTATTTCTGGAGGTTGATGGTATTTCGCTGGCTGAAAAGACAAGGGAAAACTTCCCATCCCTGAATGTCCTATTACCCCTTCTGCATCCCTGCTAGCTGCAAGGAAATGAAACATGGCCTCAAGTTCCCTCAATGAACAGCATGTTGCCTGATTAATCCAACAAACCAACACTTGGCAAAAGAGGACATCAAAAGCATCAGTTCTGGGGATGTAGATCTTAATTCCTTCAGCTTTTCTTACTAGTGCCCCAAAATGAAAGATTTCCTTTCAGGCTGAAAATGAACTTTTTCACTGGGAAGAAGCAGAAGCATCTGTTTCAGTACGAAAAAAAAAAAAAAAAAACAGATTGATGCAGACGGAACTTCTCCCTGATTTTGTTTCTGTTCAGATGTCTCATCAAAACTGGGTATTCACAATACCTCGAGTACAGCAGAACCTTCTAAATAGATGCAAGGAAAACTGTCTTGGCACTGCAGCTGTAAAAGCATGGGCTTCCCTGCATTTGTAATGCCTCCCAGAACCTGCCAGCTAGCTTAACCTCACTACCTCTGCATGGACATCAAATTCACTTGCATAATTTCTGATTTTAGCTAATTTCCACAAAAAAGATCATTTAGACTTTAGTAACCATCCTCCAGCCCCCTAAATACTGATCTTCTGCACTGCAGCTTAGATAAGAAATAAAACCATTAAGTACCTCCCCCAAAGTGTGGCAGATTTCCTGTGGGAAAATTAAACCATAAAATGAGAATTCTTACCTCAGATCCAGACCATATTATTCAAACTCAAATATTTTTAAATATCATTTCTGTGACCTGACTTGAGACAAGGAAGAACTGCTTTCAGTTCTCAGATAGTCTCAATATGAGATATCTCAGAAATATCTCAGAAAGTCTCAATATGAGGCTCAGATTGCATTTTCACTGACCAATATTCCCATGTTTTTTATGACAAAATAACTCTTAGTCCTTACCATTCTACTTATTTTTGTCTTGTGAAACATAATAGAGAAAAAGCATCACATGGAAGAGCAAATACCAACCAATGTGAGTGCATGTTTGTTCACAGGCACACATAGGTGCTGATACTATTTTCCCTATACACTTTCAAGGAAATGTTTCAAGTGCTTTTCCTCCAACAGGATTTCACAGGGAGACATCTATTTTATACTTAGTGCCCGAGCAGAGAAATAGTGGAGAGTCTTGTAACTTAACCTGACAATTTACGAACCAGTCCAAAACATGCTCCGAAGGTTAGTTGTTAATAGACTGGCAGCAAGTCTTACAACTAAATCCTACCTGGAGGCAGCTGACAGCCAGGCCATGGAAATGTACTTCTTGAAAATAATGCATGTTTCCTTCAGCCAGTCACACACTGCAGCTTGCCATATACACAAAGACAGCAAAAACTAGACAGTCGTGCTTACACACACAGGTAGATTGAGTAAAGTGAATGCATGATTCACCTTGGCACTACCTGGTCACCTGCCTGAAGAGGCAAAGCGTTGGATGACCCAGTTAATCACGTATGAACTTCCTTAAAGCATATTGCAGATCTGGGATGCAAAGAGACTGGTTTGTTATGGGAGAGAAGGCCAAATCCGTGGTTCATTCTCCAGCTGCTCTGTGCTAGCCGGGAAGGCTGCGCCCTGCAGGAGCCAGGGTCGTCCCCTGAAGAGGAAGGTCCTGGTCCGACCTGGCTCTGATGCAGGTGAGGTCCTGGCACCTGCATCGCTGGTCCTAGCTGTCATATGAAGAATGGCAGTTCTCATGTGCGCTGTTACTTCGATAGCTACAACCTGAGGCTCAGTAACGAGCTGAAAGGATAACAGCTTTTAAGAAAGAGAATTACCCCTAGTCAGGAACTGCAGGCACTTCAGACACACGGTTTAGGGCAATAGCACTGAACAGGAATGGCTAAATTCTGATCAGAAACTATCTCAGGTAGCTTTTGCCATGCATTTTCGCAGAACAAGTTATTTTTAAGTAGGTAGGAAGGAGAGTGCTCATTTTTGCACCTGAATATAATAAATTACAACTCTGCCAGTTTTAACAGATCTTGGCCATTTAGCTGTTAACCAAAATAACTTCACAGTGATTTTTAGGTAGAGATTCACATGACACTAACTCTCTCTCCAAGAACCAAAGGCTTGAAGCAGATGTAAATGATCTGGCCACTTCTGCAATCGCGCTGAACTGCAGGTGGTACAATGCGGCAAAAGGCTACAAACAGAAACTCTCTTTTGGTTCAATCTCTGGGATTCATGTCAACATTTAAAAAAAAACTTCAAAAAGGAAAACATAGATTTACTTCACTAATAATAATAATTAAAAGATATTTTATTATCAAAGTAATTTCTTTTTGAACAGTCTGTCTCTCATCCCAGTTATTACTTGATAACGAAGTAAAGCTCCTACTGCACCTCCCTGAAGTATACGTACCCCACTTACCAACTTCAAAGCAGTTCTTTTTATAGGAAAGCCTTTATCCGTTACCTAGCCCTTCTTGGTTATTGGAAAAACTATGCACAACTTCATTACAAAGGCTAAGGCACGTAACATTATCCTGTTTCAGTATTCATGATGTTCCAAAGCCAAATTCTACATTAATGCAAAGCACAATCCTGGATTACATGTTGGAGAAAAATTACATTAGAATTTGGTCTTTCCTGCTTTACAAGAAATTCTTCATGCCAGAGCTTTTTCAAACAAGCTGGTTATCTTTCCGTTTTCTCTTTTCAGTAGTTGGACTTTCTGCAAAAATTTAAAGTTTTTTTTGTTTTCGTGGCTCATTTCAGATTTCCTCTGAAGCCGGGCTTGTGTAAGAAAAGAGTGAAACAGCTGAAATGAACTGTCATTTCTTGTGCATCTCTATCTGGCTGACATAAAGCCTTCTCTAGGGCACTGTGGAGAAAAAAACAAACTTTTTTACTCAGAAAAGGTATCTCTTTAAACTGCTTCAGAACTACTTAAAAAAAAAAAAAACAGGCTAACGGAGGGAAAGGGCTCACACCATATGCTTATTCTGATATTCTGATAGGGTATTTGCAACCTTAGTAAAGACACGTTAGAAAAAAATTCCTGACTACAGAGCCTCATTCTTTTTGAGAACTACAGCTTCTGTTCTGCAAAATTTCATTTGCCTGTGTAACAATGAGCAATACACCAGCACACACCAGCGTGGTGTATGACCTGGCCCTTAAGCAATAGATGACAGCCTGTCTCCGCTACAGGCAATGAGATTTTTACCAATTAACTTCACCATGTGCCAGGATTCCATCGACACCTTTGTGCCTCCCATACAGGGATGGTGGTAATTGAGACGTTCAAA